TGAGGCAAGAGAATTGCTTAAGCCCAAGAGTTTGAGGTTGCTGTGAGCTGTGATACCATGGTACTCTACCCAGGGCCACAGCTTGAGACTCTGTCTCAAAAAAAAAAAAAAAAAGAAAAAAAGAAAGTAAATTAAAGAAGTAGATCTCTCTGACTTGAGGGTCACCTTGTCTGTCCTCTCTCTATCCCCTAAAAAATAACAAATCCTGTTAGGAATTAGAGCCACTGGGCTAGCAGACAGCAGAGTGATAGGGAAAGGGGTGGGAGTCACTGACCTTGAGCATCTCTTTGCTCTCTGTTCTGTGCTTTTTCTCAGGGGATGATGCATAGGAAATAAATTAGATTTCTGTCACACTTCCCTAAAGCTCAGAGGAGGTTTCTCTGTATGTTACCTCCTGATTCCTGCCTCTCTCTCCGAGGTGGGGAAGACAGAGTCTGTCACTGTTCATCTGGCAAGGAACTGCCAGCACTAGGGCTGAACGCAGGCTCCTGGCTCCAGGTATCTGACTGGCCACGCTGTGTGGCCAGTGTCTGGCCTTAGTGTCCCAAGAGGTCCCTTTTTACTCTCAAGATGCTGGATCTTCTCTTGTCATCCTTAGCTCTAGCTCTGGAGGGCCCCAGGTCACCCCACCACAACCTGCTGTGCCCCCATCCCAAGCTGGGTGTCCCTGGATTCACTCACACTGGCTTCTCTTACAGCGCAATGTCCCTGCTCTTCTCTCGATGCAACTCCATCGTCACAGTCAAGAAGGATAAGAGACACATGGCTGAGGTGAATGCTTCCCCACTCAAGCATTTCGTCACTGCCAAGAAGAAAATCAATGGCATTTTTGAGCAGCTGGGCGCCTACATCCAGGAAAGTGCCACCTTCCTTGAAGGTGAGATGGACACCTGCTCAGCCAAGCCCCCTCCTGATCCCACTGTTGAGATGTTTAGGCAGGATTTGGGGTGGGGGGAGTAGAGCTCTGCTCTTGGGGAACTCCTGTCTAGATGGCTCCAGCAATATCTGCTCTTATGATCATGTGAAATCAAGGTTGGGGGAGATTAGGCCAGGGGGACAAGGGATCCACCATTCAAGAATTCATTTGAGAAGTCTACATATTCCATTTCATTTAATCATGGAGGGTAGGTGAATCTTATCCCGTCTAAAAGGCAAGCACATGAGATTTGAGAGTTGTCTGGTGTCTTAGGTGACACAGCAGGGCTTTACCCAGGTGTCTCCAACTCCAGAGTTCATCCCTTGGCCCACTGCTGGCTGCTGTTGTCCCTGACCAGGGTGCCTTCTCTGGTATTTTTAGATGGGCAACAGGACTATGAATAGGAAACTCACGTCACCTTTGCCTTTTCTACTACTTACTAATTTGAGCTCAACCTCTAGTCCCTGCTCTGTCAACAGAGGACTGGTGTCTAGGGCACCATGAGTCTGGTTGCCGACTGTAGCACAGCCTCCCTCTTTTTTTTGAGACAGAGTCTCACTATGTCACCCTGGGTAGAGTGCCATGGCGTCACAGCTCACAGCAACCTCCAACTCTTGGGCTTAAGTAGTTCTCTTGCCTCAGCTTCCCAAGTGGCTAGGACTACAGGCACCTGCCACAACATCCAGCTATTTTTTTGTTGCAGTTGTTGTTATTCAGCTGGTTCAGGCTGGGCTTGAACCCACCAGCCTCCGTGCATGTGGCTGGTCCCTTAAACACTGCGTTATGGGCTCTGAGCCACTGGTGATTCTATATTTATTTATTTATCTATTTATTATTTATTTATTTTGAGACAGAGCCTCAAGCTGTCCCCCGTGCTGGCATCACAGCTCACAGCAACCTCCAACTCC